CTATGATTTTTCTCGATTTTCGATTTTCGATTTTTCGATTTTTCGATTTTTCGATTTTTCGATTTTTCGATTTTCGATTTTCGATATTTCGATTTTTCGATTTTTCGATTTTTCGATTTTCGATTTTTCGATTTTCGATTTTTCGATTTTTCGATTTTTCGATTTGATTTTTTGATCTTTGATTTTTGATTTTTGATTTAGATTTTTGATTTTTGATTTTTGATTTTTGAGTTTTGATTTTTGATTTTTGATTTTTGATTTTTGATTTTTGATTTTGATTTTTGATTTTTGATTTTTGATTTTTGATTTTGATTTTGATTTTTGATTTTTGATTTTCAATTTTCAATTTTTCATTTTTCATTTTTCATTTTTCATTTTTCATTTTTCATTCTTCAGATTTCAGTTTTCATTTTTTAGTTTTCAGTTATCAGTTATTTGTTATCTGTTACCTGTTTTCTTCTATCTGTTACTTTGTATCTGTTATCTGTCATATTTTATCTTTTATCTGTTATAAGTTATCTGTTATATGTTACCACCTGTTACCTGTTACCACCTTTTACCTGTTATCTGTTGTCTGTATCTTCCATATAGCATGAAAATATCCTGTAGACAATTGTATAACAGACTCAGATTTATGTGAGATGCCGGCAACGTCGCATGTGTTGTTGTTTATACCATACATGGCGTTATAAAATCTTCCATGTAGCAAATTGTATAGCAGACTTAGATTTATATGAGGATCGTCGCATAAATCTAGCTATAACACGACTTGCAAAAAAATGGCGCTTGACACTGACATATGTCAACCGTGTTCGTCTATGGATAGCAGTGGACTATGCTTTCTTCAGTGTATATGTTTTCTGTTTTGTAATGTCAATGTCATTGTCATAGGTAATTTTTTCTAACCTGGAAAATGAAATGTATTTTGTTTAAAATTAAAATTCAATAACTCCTATTGTGAGATGTGTGCATCTACAACATAATGAAAGGAAAAATTAAGATTCTGAAAGTTAATTCCTAAATATCATAGTAAGGAAATCCGTAAAACTAAAAAAAAAAAGTAAACATAAACACCTTGAGAAAACTTCTTCCGTATCAAGTGGTTAAAGTGGAGTTTTAAAACAATTTTTGTTGAAAATAAGGCCGTTAGTTTACAAGCAGGTAGGTAACTGAGCGATCCGCTAATGTGTGTGTATCTTGCTTATAAAAAATAGGATATTGATAGGATATTTTCAAATTGAACTTTTGTCTTATTTTTACTATTTATTGCAGGAGAACAGTTGTTGAACCAGGTCCTGGTGCATACTTATGTAGTTGTCACTTTGTGGATGGGAAAAAAGAAAATAGACCTACATTGTTTAGGTATAATAGGGAGAAGCAATTGAACTTTCCATCGCCAGAAAGAAGAACCCGTAAAAATAACAACAATGTGAAAATTGAACTCTATAATATGTTACTTCAAATTGGGCCCTTTTAGGGATGTATGTAATAATTATGTGATCTGCAAAAATAAAAATAGTTTAGATACAACACATGGCATCATAAATTATTTTAATGTAGAGTTCAGTACTCGTATAGGTAACTTTCACTCCCCTGGCAGGCTTAATCTAAGCGATATCACAAATATGTCTATACCAAGTTACGATTATACTGTGCAAGAGTACTTATCTTACAAATTTTGACAAGTAATGGTGTCTGTTGTTTTGACAAGTCTTGGAAGTCACAAGTTCTTAAAGCAGCTACATTCTAAATCGATTTAGATCAAATAAACAACTGCAGTGGCTGTGAAAGTCTTAGTAATTTTGAAAACTTTGGTAGTAGATATGATTATCAATGCTATTTTTCAGCGCTTTGCATATTCCTTCATCTGCTTGATAATATTGCCAATCGAAGGGATAGATGACAAGTTTGTTTACTTATTTTCCATTTATACATACTACTCAGGTGAGATACTACTACTACAAGGTTTTTACAATATTTATGAGTTTGTTGGTGGTAAAGTTCTTCGTTTGGGAAAAATTCAACAGAAGCAGATGAACAATGCTCGCTTTATGATCTGGAGAAAATGTGCTATCGCTTTAAACTAAAATTTCCTCTATTTTTTTAATGTTGTATGATTATGATCAATCAATTAGAAACATGACATATAATAATAACATCTCAAAAAATTAGACCGGAAGCTTGAAATTATTAAGTACTATAGTTGTTGGACAGTAAGTAATAGTATCGCTTGAAAATCAAATTTTGTAATCTGTTTCCTCTGATTCAATAATGAATTTTTCTGTAATCTATGATTAAGATCAGTCTTAGAAACAGGACAGATGTGAGTATCCTTGAAATTAGACATATAATAATAACATCTTTAAAAACAGAATAGAAATTTGAAATCATCAAGTGCTATAGTTTTTGACAAGTAATGGTGTCTGTTGTTTTGACAAGTCTTGGAAGTGACAAGTCCTTAAAGCAGCTACATTCTAAATCGAAGTACATACATTCTGCATTGAGATCAAAATAAACAACTGCAGTGGCTGTGAAAGTCTTAGTAATTTTGAAAACTTTGGTAGTAGATATGATTATCAATGCTATTTTTCAGCGCTTTGCATATTCCTTCATCTGCTTGATAATATGTGCCACTGTTAGCCAGCTAATAGGTCTACATATTTAGACAAATTGAACTGAGGGTCAAGACTGAACTCTTACTGAACTTCATAGAAGTGACTGACTACTTACGTTTGCAATAGAAACACATAAAACTGTAAACACTTCACACAACACTTTCACTATTTGTAGCTGCGATTGCTTGTTCTAAGCTTCTAATTAATCCTTATTAACGGGAGCCTCATTATTAAGATTTCGATAATGTTTACATTCATACATTGTAGGTTAGAAATCGGAGGTGATGCAATCAGACATACGCTTTATATCAATCGGTTGGAAAAGCGGAGCTTTATGCCATATTGTAAAATTATAACATGAATAGGGGCTTACAATCATATTTTTATCGTATTTATAAACCGATGATGATTTCAATAAACTGATGAACGTCAAAGAATAATTGCAGCCTTTGGCGGTAGACATCGCAATCTGTCAAAATAAAAAACTACTAGATTCCTACGATTTTAATGGATCTAGTCCGGTCCGTTTAGACAATGGAATTTAGAAATTTTGAATCTTTTCGAAAATGTTGATTTTCACGCGTAAAAAAGGACAATTCTATTTGGCGTGATCCAATATTGGATGAAGCGATAGTCATGAAGCCGAAAATGGCACGTTTTTGACGTTCCGCTCGCACTCGCTCGCTTTCGTAATACGATCATACCTACATTACCCCGCCTAACAGGAATCCGGGGATCTGGAGGGGAAATTCAAAATTGAAACTTCAAACTAAAAATGTGTGCATATCTTTGAATTTTCTAATCTGCCGAGTTTAAAAAATGCGATCGGGTAACGTGTCGTATGTCGGTTTAATCAGGAGACTTTGGTCTTTCGTTTTGCGAAAAAAAATCGTAGCTACGTCGCTCCGTAACGCAGGTCCGTATCGACGAAGACAAAGTACGCCGAAAAACGGTTGTCATCGGTACTTTTGAGGCGCTCAAAATTTACTTTTTCGAAATTTGACGGTAATTCTAACGGTCAGAATCGTTTCGTCAGCTCATTATCGTTATTTTTCGATAGCTGTATAATTTTTACTCGCTCACGTACGGTAGTAATAAGCGAGGACAGAGCCGGATGACAAGGTGACTTTTTCACGCGTCGAAAAGTAGCGTATTGTCGAGGAATTTTAAAAAATCGAAACTTTTCAACGTAAACGAATAATAATGATGAAAATAGTATTAAAAGAGTGTCCGAAGCATGGACTTTCGCACGCAAAAATCGTCAGGTTCGTAGCTCCTTTATCTTCGGAGGAGATAGCTGATATACGGCGAAGCAGCGCGCTTTATACGCAAAAAAGTCATTCTTGACGACGTTCGAGATTCGTTTACTCGAAACGGGTACCGTAAACGAAAAAACGTCTCTCCGCGTAATTTGTAGCGCTCGCCGAGATGTACGAAACGCGGCACGCGAAATTCCTTTTCTCTTCGGCATAAGGGAGATATCGTAGTTTTCAAGGCGATTCGTCATTTTTGTCGCTTTTTTTTCGAACATTTCTAGAAAAAAAACCGAGACGCGGAACCGAACAGATTTAGCTTATTGGTACGTATTTCTCGTTTAGCTATCGAACGAGACCGATCTCGAGTCGATATTTCGATAAACGGCGAAACGAGTGTGAAATAACGCCGCGTACCGTCCGGAAAACGGTAGATTTTTCGACTTTACCGGCCGTTTTCGATCCGATCCGTTCCTCTCGCCGCGACGGCTCTCGCCCGCCCGTAAAGCGCCGAGTTTCTAGTTTCCGAAACGGTACCTCCTTCCTTCCGAACGTTTCGCGAACCGGGAAAAAACCGAAAAAACCGCGTCGACGTCGCCCGCCCAAAATTTCTAACGTCACGTGACCTCTTCCTTAAAACAATCGATCACCGCTTAATATAGTCGACTAGCGCAGTTTCTGGCATGCTAACGCTATGCCAAATATTGTACGTTGATGTCTTTATTTAAAACCTCACGTAGCGCAGTTGCTGGTATGCTAATGCAATGCTAGCGATAACTATCTCTAATCATTTTTTATCCTTGGCATCTTTGATCTGGTATCTGGTATCAGGTATCTGGTATCTGGTATCCGGTATCCGGTGTCTGGTATCTGGTATCTGGTATCAGGTATCTGGTGTCTGGTATCTGATATCTGGTATCTGGTATCCGGTATCCGGTGTCTGGTATCTGGTATCTGGTATCTGGTATCTGATGTCTGGTATCTGGTATCTGGTGTCTGGCATCTGGTATCTGGTATCTGGTGTCTGGTGTCTGGTATCTGATGTCTGGTATCTGGTGTCTGGTGTCTGGTATCTGGTATCTGGTATCTGGTATCTGGTATCTGGTGTCTGGTATCTGGTATTTGGTATCTGTTATCTCTTTATCTGGTATCTGGTTTCTGGTGGCTGGTATCTGGTATCTCGTATCTGGTATCTGGTATCTGGTTTCTGGTGTCTGGTATCTGATGTCTGGTATCCGGTATCCGGTGTCTGGTATCTGGTATCTGGTATCTGGTGTCTGGTATCTGATGTCTGGTATCTGGTATCCGGTGTCTGGCATCTGGTATCTGGTATCTGGTATCTGGTGTCTGGTATCTGATGTCTGGTATCTGGTGTCTGGTGTCTGGTATCTGGTATCTGGTATCTGGTGTCTGGTATCTGGTATTTGGTATCTGTTATCTCTTTATCTGGTATCTGGTTTCTGGTGGCTGGTATCTGGTATCTGGTATCTCGTATCTGGTGTTTGGTATCTGGTATCTGGTGTCTGGTGTCTGGTATCTGGTATCTGGTATCTCGTATCTGGTATCTGGTTTCTGGTGTCTGGTATCTGATGTCTGATATCTGGTATCTGGTGTCTGGTATCTGGTATCTGGTGTCTGGTGTCTGGTATCTGGTATCTGGTATCTCGTATCTGGTATCTGGTTTCTGGTATCTGATGTCTGGTATCTGGTGTCTGGTATCTGGTATCTGGTATCTGGTATCTGGTGTCTGGTATCTGGTGTCTAGTATCTGGTTTCTGGTATCTGTTATCTTTTATAAGTTATCAGTTTTCATTTTTCATTTTTCTATTTTAATTTTTAATTTTTCATTTTTAATTTTTCTATTTTAATTTTTAATTTTCAATTTTCAATTTTCAATTTTCAATTTTCAATTTTCAATTTTCAATTTTCCGATTTTTCGATTTTTCGATTTTCGATTTTCGATTTTTCGATTTTTCGATTTTTCGATTTTTCGATTTTTCGATTTTTCGATTTTTCGATTTTTCGATTTTCGATTTTTCGATTTTTCGATTTTCGATTTTTCGATTTTTCGATTTTTCGATTTTTCGATTTTTCGATTTTTCGATTTTTCGATTTTTCGATTTTTCGATTTTTCGATTTTTCGATTTTTCGATTTTTCGATTTTCGATTTTTCGATTTTCGATTTTTCGATTTTTCGATTTTTCGATTTTCGATTTTTCGATTTTTCGATTTTCGATTTTTCGATTTTCGATTTTTCGATTTTTCGATTTTTCGATTTTTCGATTTTTCGATTTTTCGATTTTTCGATTTTTCGATTTTCGATTTTTCGATTTTTCGATTTTTCGATTTTTCGATTTTTCGATTTTTCGATTTTTCGATTTTTCGATTTTTCGATTTTTCGATTTTCGATTTTCGATTTTTTCGATTTTTCGATTTTTCGATTTTTCGATTTTTCGATTTTTCGATTTTTCGATTTTTCGATTTTTCGATTTTTCGATTTTTCGATTTTTCGATTTTTCGATTTTTCGATTTTTCGATTTTTCGATTTTTCGATTTTTCGATTTTTCGATTTTTCGATTTTTCGATTTTTCGATTTTTCGATTTTTCGATTTTTTTCGATTTTTCGATTTTTCGATTTTTCGATTTTTCGATTTTTCGATTTTTCGATTTTTCGATTTTTCGATTTTTTTTCGATTTTTCGATTTTCGATTTTCGATTTTCGATTTTTCGATTTTTCGATTTTTCGATTTTTCGATTTTTCGATTTTCGATTTTTCGATTTTTCGATTTTCGATTTTTCGATTTTTTCGATTTTTCGATTTTTCGATTTTTCGATTTTTCGATTTTTCGATTTTTCGATTTTTCGATTTTTCGATTTTTCGATTTTTCGATTTTTCGATTTTCGATTTTTCGATTTTCGATTTTCGATTTTCGATTTTTCGATTTTCGATTTTTCGATTTTTCGATTTTCGATTTTTCGATTATTCGATTTTTCGATTTTTCGATTTTTCGATTTGATTTTTTGATTTTTAATTTCAATTTTCAATTTTTCATTTTTCATTTTTCATTCTTCAGATTTCAGTTTTCATTTTTTAGTTTTCAGTTATCAGTTATTTGTTATCTGTTATCTGTTTTCTTTTATCTTTTACTTTTTATCTGTTATCTGTCATCTTTTATCTGTTATAAGTTATCTGTTATCTGTTATATGTTACCACCTGTTACCTGTTACCACCTTTTACCTGTTATCTGTTATTTTCCATATAGCATTGAAAATATCCTGTATACAATTGTATAACAGACTCAGATTTATGTGAGATGCCGGCAACGTCGCATGTGTTGTTGTTAATACCATACATGGCGTTATAAAATCTTCCATGTAGCAAATTGTATAGCAGACTTAGATTTATATGAGGATCGTCGCATAAATCTAGCTATAACACGACTTGCAAAAAAATGGCGCTTGACACTGACATATGTCAACCGTGTTCGTCTATGGATAGCAGTGGACTATGCTTTCTTCAGTGTATATGTTTTCTGTTTTGTAATGTCAATGTCATTGTCATAGGTAATTTTTTCTAACCTGGAAAATGAAATGTATTTTGTTTAAAATTAAAATTCAATAACTCCTATTGTGAGATGTGCGCATCTACAACATAATGAAAGGAAAAATTAAGATTCTGAAAGTTAATTCCTAAATATCATAGTAAGGAAATCCGTAAAACTAAAAAAAAAGTAAACATAAACACCTTGAGAAAACTTCTTCCGTATCAAGTGGTTAAAGTGGAGTTTTAAAACAATTTTTGTTGAAAATAAGGCCGTTAGTTTACCAGCAGGTATGTAACTGAGCGATCCGCTAATGTGTGTGTATCTTGCTTATAAAAAATGCTGTATTTAGATATTGCTATTCACATGAGATACCGTTCTTTGATAGGATATTTTCAAATTGAACTTTTGTCTTATTTTTACTATTTATTGCAGGAGAACAGTTGTTGAACCAGGTCCTGGTGCATACTTATGTAGTTGTCACTTTGTGGATGGGAAAAAAGAAAATAGACCTACATTGTTTAGGTATAATAGGGAGAAGCAATTGAACTTTCCATCGCCAGAAAGAAGAACCCGTAAAAATAACAACAATGTGAAAATTGAACTCTATAATATGTTACTTCAAATTGGGCCCTTTTAAGGGATGTATGTAATAATTATGTGATCTGCAAAAATAAAAATAGTTTAGATACAACACATGGCATCATAAATTATTTTAATGTAGAGTTCAGTACTCGTATAGGTAACTTTCACTCCCCTGGCAGGCTTAATCTAAGCGATATCACAAATATGTCTATACCAAGTTACGATTATACTGTGCAAGAGTACTTATCTTACAAATTTTGACAAGTAATGGTGTCTGTTGTTTTGACAAGTCTTGGAAGTCACAAGTTCTTAAAGCAGCTACATTCTAAATCGATTTAGATCAAAATAAACAACTGCAGTGGCTGTGAAAGTCTTAGTAATTTTGAAAACTTTGGTAGTAGATATGATTATCAATGCTATTTTTCAGCGCTTTGCATATTCCTTCATCTGCTTGATAATATTTGCCAATCGAAGGGATAGATGACAAGTTTGTTTACTTATTTTCCATTTATACATACTACTCAGGTGAGATACTACTACTACAAGGTTTTTACAATATTTATGAGTTTGTTGGTGGTAAAGTTCTTCGTTTGGGAAAAATTCAACAGAAGCAGATGAACAATGCTCGCTTTATGATCTGGAGAAAAATGTGCTATCGCTTTAAAATAAAATTTCCTCTATTTTTTTAATGTTGTATGATTATGATCAATCAATTAGAAACATGACATATAATGATAACATCTCAAAAAATTAGACCAGAAGCTTGAAATTATTAAGTACTATAGTTGTTGGACAGTAAGTAATAGTATCGCTTGAAAATCAAATTTTGTAATCTGTTTCCTCTGATTCAATAATGAATTTTTCTGTAATCTATGATTAAGATCAGTCTTAGAAACAGGACAGATGTGAGTATCCTTGAAATTAGACATATAATAATAACATCTTTAAAAACAGAATAGAAATTTGAAATCATCAAGTGCTATAGTTTTTTGACAAGTAATGGTGTCTGTTGTTTTGACAAGTCTTGGAAGTGACAAGTCCTTAAAGCAGCTACATTCTAAATCGAAGTACATACATTCTGCATTGGGATCAAAATAAACAACTGCAGTGGCTGTGAAAGTCTTAGTAATTTTGAAAACTTTGGTAGTAGATATGATTATCAATGCTATTTTTCAGCGCTTTGCATATTCCTTCATCTGCTTGATAATATGTGCCACTGTTAGCCAGCTAATAAGTCTACATATTTAGATGAATTGAACTGAGGGTCAACACTGAACTCTTACTGAACTTCATAGAAGTGACTGACTACTTACGTTTGCAATAGAAACACATAAACTGTAAACACTTCACAACACTGTCACTATTTGTAGCTGCGATTGCTTGTTCTAAGCTTCTAATTAATCCTTATTAACGGGAGCCTCATTATTAAGATTTCGATAATGTTTACATTCATACATTGTAGGTTAGAAATCGGAGGTGATGCAATCAGACATACGCTTTATATCAATCGGTTGGAAAAGCGGAGCTTTATGCCATATTGTAAAATTATAACATGAATAGGGGCTTACAATCATATTTTTATCGTATTTATAAACCGATGATGATTTCAATAAATTGATGAACGTCAAAGAATAATTGCAGCCTTTGGCGGTTGACATCGCAATCTGTAAACATAGAAAACTACTAGATTCATACGATTTTAATGGCTCTAGTCCGGTCCGTTTAGACAATGGAATATAAAAATTTTGAATCTTTTCGAAAATGTTTATTTTCACGCGAAAAAAGGACAATGGTATTCGGCGTGATCCTATATTCGATGAAGCGACCGACATAAAGCCGAAAATAGCACGTTTCGGACGTTTCGCTCGCACTCGCTCGCTTTCGTAATACGATCGTATCTACAATACCCCGCCTAACAGGAATCCGGGGATCTGGAGGGGAAATTCAAAATTGAAACGTCAAACTAAAAATGTGTGCATATCTTTGAATTTTTGTAATCTGCCGAGTTTAAAAAATGCGATCGGGTAACGTGTCGTATGTCGGTTTAATCAGGAGACTTTGGCCTTTCGTTTTGCGAAAAAAAATCGTAGCCACGTCGCTCCGTAACGCAGGTCCGTATCGACGAAGACAAAGTACGCCGAAAAACGGTTGTCATCGGTACTTTTGAGGCGCTCAAAATTTACTTTTTCGAAATTTGACGGTAATTCTAACGGTCAGAATCGCTTCGTCAGCTCATTATCGTTATTTTTCGATAGCTGTATAATTTTTACTCGCTCACGTACGGTAGTAATAAGCGAGGACAGAGCCGGATGACAAGGTGACTTTTTCACGCGTCGAAAAGTAGCGTATTGTCGAGGAATTTTTAAAAAATCGAAACTTTTCAACGTAAACGAATAATGATGATGAAAATAGTATTAAAAGAGTGTCCGAAGCATGGGCTTTCTCACGCAAAAATCGTCAGGTTCGTAGCTCCTTTATCTTCGGAGGAGATAGCTGATTTACGGCGAAGCAGCGCGCTTTATACGCAAAAAAGTCATTCTTGACGACGTTCGAGGTTCGTTTATTCGAAACGGGTACCGTAAACGAAAAAACGTCTCTCCGCGTAATTTGTAGCGCTCGCCGAGATGTACGAAACGCGGCACGCGAAA